TTTTTTTTTTTTTTTTTTTTGCTTCTCTGTACTTTGAAAGCTCCTCAACTTGTTCAATTCCACAGGTTTATAGCTAGAGGAGAAATTGCCTCAGAATGAATCTGGCCTTGATTTTCACCTGTAGCTGACCTGCACGAGACTCTGTTTGAACTGTGATCTTTTGAGTTGGTGCTGGAACAAGGCAAGACCTTTGGACTGTTAGGATGGGCTATGTTTTGAGTAAATATATTTTGCAAGTGTGAATGATATAAATTTAAGGCCCAGGGTCAAAATGTTATGGTTTCAAAGTTCAGGGATTGGAAACTTGGTCTGTGAGGAGAGAATACTATTATTCTTTCCCAAAGAACAGTATAGGAATACTAAGATCTTGTCAGAATAGTATCACATTTATTTTTGTATGTTATTGTTGGGTTCCATGCCTGATGTGTATAAGGTGCTCAGCAAAGGCTCACTGAATAGAAATTGCCCAGGATCCCACAAGTCCATGGCAATGGCGAGACCGTCTATGTGAGCACCTAGCTCTGCCTGCAGGGACGAGTCTTCTTGGAACACATCTTATACCTGTGGTCCATCATAGGTGTGGCTTCTCCAGGAAGAGCCAAGAGCCTTTCTTTCTCTTCTAAAATTCTATATTTTCATGACAATGCTAAATATTATAATTACCAGATAAATGTATAGATAATTCTTGTAGAAAGAAAATGTCAAAAATCTTAGGGAAAGGAACATTTTAAAAAATGAATTTCATTGTTCACAGATAACTGCTTGTCAGACTTTGGGTACACCCTTCCAGGTGTTTTTTCTACACATATGTATCTAACTATCCATGTATAAATTACTTAACTAAACTGTGACTATCTAGATGATACTTTTTATAACCTGCTTTCTAATTGAAAATATATTATGAGCTTGCTGCCCTGTGGACAAGTATAGTTGTGCATATGATTTATAATAGTTACGTATAGTATCATGCCATTGTCTAGTTGACCATAATTTGTTTAGCCATTTTAAAAAATATTGTTGGCAGATTGTTTCTATTTTTGTAATTATAAATAATTCCAGGACAATGTTGACACAATTCCATTTCAAATAACATTTAGGAGATGGGTTTCTAGCTCAGTGGTTCTACCACCTGCCTTGTAAGCACAAGGTCGTGAGTTGGATCGCTGGTACCAAAAATAAATAAATAATAAATAAATAAAAAATAAGAGTATATGTTTTTAAGGAGACTAAGAGGCAGAGGGAAGGGAGGGGGAGGGAGGGGAGGGGAAGGAGTTGAAGAAAAAGAATAAAGGGAAGTAAGATGTGTTGTGTTTACAAAATTTAGATTCCTTATTCCTGTCTCCTTTTCTTCTTTCCCTGAGTGTCTGGAGTCGGTTGCAGTTTGAAGGGAAAGGATGAGCCCTTGCCTGTCTCCCCCAGCTGTTGGTTATCTGAGAGCACTGTCACCAAAACGGAGAAGGGGAGATCTTGTCTTTTCTGCTGTGTCTCATTCATTCCTTTCACATTCTCTTTATCTCCTTGTCTTTACTTGGTTTAACTCAGAATCGGGCTTCTGCATGGCCAGACACCTGGAGAACCAGGAAACAAAGGAAAGAAAAAGTCTAAACAGTGCAAAATATCCAAGTAAGAACCCATGCTTTTAACTGTTAACCAATCATCGAAAATTAAGATTCCAGCAGTCTTCCTGGATTGCTTCTGGATGCTCAAGACGCTCCTGCCATCTGGAAGGGTTGCTTGGTATCTCAAATTTCATGACTTTTTTACCCTTTCCCAACATTTCCAGAAACCCAAGAAATCCTGATATGCTTGTTTTCTCTGAATTTCAGTTAGCATTGGGGCAGCTGAGGACAGGGTTGCTTGAAGAGGGGATCTGATGAGAACTCAGCTCCATCTGGGTCTTGTGTCAGGCGTGACCATTGGCTAGGCTGTCCCACCTTCTTGCCCCTCTGCTTTGCCTTGTGAGTCTGCTCTCTTGCCCAGGTTCTTCCCTGCTCAGAGCTCCACTCAACATGAGGGTAGGACTAGCACTGTCAACTTCCTACCGCTGTGAAGGATTACCACTGAGAGCGCAGTGTGCTTGGGGAACACCACGTATGATCAGTACTGTTCCTGAAAGTATGGGATGGGGATCTTCTTGGCTGTCCCTTCCTGCTGACCTTCTCTGGAAAATGAAGACAGGTGTACACATTTTACAGGTATCATAACAGGAGCTTCTATTTTAGTGTTGGCCAAAGCTCTACAGCAGCAGGTTCCAACGTCACATGTTCTCCAGCCTCCTGGACTGACACTTAAGGAGTGATTTAGAGACCCTGAAGAGCCACACACCCAGAGAAGGCATGGAGATGCCCGCCGGAGAAAACAAGCCATTATTCTGCCAGGGACTTGCAGGTGTGAGAGTGCCACGCCGCATTTTAAACCAACAAAATACTCCATGAAAGGGCAGTTCCCTCTCAAGGTCCCCACCAGTAAATAAGAGTCTTTTGCTCTTTACCATGCCCCATCTTCTCCCCACCTTTCCACCTTTCCTTCCCCAATGGTTTGGGGCAGCTGAATGGGTGGTGGTGGGGGGCAATTTTAAGTCAGGGAAATAAAGGAGTCACTCAGAAGCTCTGCCCTGTAAGGTTGCTGCCTACAGCAGCCTTAGGCTGGGGAAAGGGGAAGCTTACTTTCTAAATGAAGTCCACAATTTGATTACTACACTGGAATTGGATATACAATAAAGCACACAGACATTGTTTTATTTCCTCAGGATGAACAGGAAAACTACGATGTCCATTGAAGATTATTCCTAGAACAGGTCCAGAACTGGCCAGGAGGCAGGTTTAAAAAGTCAGTGGGAAAGTATCACTTGTTGATTTGAGAATGCAAGTATTCCTCTTCCAACAAGCAAGCTACATTATCTATCTGAAAACAAATTTCAGCCTGAAGTGGACATTAGAATTCTTCCTTTCCATTATGAAAGGACCGTTGTTTCCATACCTACAACATAACTGTGTCCAAGAACCTCACACTTTCTAATAGCATATTTATAATAAATCTTGCCACAGTGTATCTCTCATGACGCTGCAGAAACACAAGAAGGCATTTGTTTTTGTTATCAGGAAACCCCTCCCAGCATCAGAGTAGATCCCAGACATCCAGGAGCGGCGCAGCTGCTCGTGTCGAGCTATCTGTGACCACATTCTTCCCTTCCCGAGCAGACACGCGCAGTCACTCCTGTGAGTAGTAGTGTGTTACGTGTACTTGCAGGGCCGGCTCGGTGACATCCGACAGTCTCCTGTTGTCACTTACTCTCGTGCTTGGGAGCAGCTGGGGTCAGTGGCTCTCGCCTGGACTTCACAGGGAAGCTCTGCGCCTGTGCTGGGCTGGCCTGTGCCTGTGATTTGCAGATGGTCTGCTCAGCTCAGCAGGACTCAGCCGGCTGGCTCTGCTTCTCTGTGGATCTGGAGTGGCCCTGCGTCAGGCTGCGGTGGGCTCGGAGCACAGTGTCACTGTCTCATGGTCTCTCGGGGACCAGCAAGCTGGCCGGGACACCTGCTCATGATGACAGAGAGGGCAAGTGCAAGCGCGTGAGGCCTCTCAAGGTCTAGGCTGAGAACTGGTACGTTGTCGCTTCTGGCCACCGTCCCTTAACTAGGGCAAGTCACACGTCCACGTTCAAAGTCACAGGGAAGGAACAGGGCTACAGCAAGTTTCATTGTAATGCGGGAAGACAAGCGTATCACGAGAACTGGAGCCCAGAGTGCAGCCTGCCACAGGCAGACCCCCAGGGGAGAGGAGGGCGGGAACTCCGTAGCGCTCTCTGGAGACGCAGCGGCGCCCATCATTCCTAGGCTGTTTGCTTGTCCCTCCGTGTAGATCGGCCTTGGGTACAGTAGTCACACAGGCCGCACCGAGGGAGGACAGGCTGAGCCTGCTCAGGGAAGGAAAATTCAGGGCCTTTTCCATTTGCTTCCTTTGGTCAGTGAGCAGGGGCTTAGGATTGAGGAGCCAGCTTTGTAATTCTGGCACTCCTACCATTTGTCCTGTCCTCCTAGTGTAGTTATTAGCAGAGCAGCAAGCACCGTGGAGGATGGTCTGGGCCTGGAGATGAGAGAGCTGTCTGGTCACCCACTAATGCTTCGGCAGAGGAGGACCTGGGGAGACCTGGTGACTGTGCGCAGAGGCAGCGAGGCCTGGGAGGGAAGCAGAGAGGGGAGAGATCAACGGATGAAATCACCGTTATTCCAGGAGCAGTTGGGAGACAGCTTTGTGGGTCATTTGATAGAGTCTTTACCTTAACAGTGCTGTGACAGGCGCCACAGCCGGGAGTAACCTCTCTCCCTGGGGAACAGGATGGTACCCGGATCAGGGAAGCGCCTGGTCTGGGTGGTCAGTCTCGCGACTCACAGCTGAGGTGCAGGGGCTGCTGTGGAGAGGGTTTTGTTCACGCGCTTGCCCTGCTTCCGCTTCTCACCGAGCCCCAGGCACAGCAGAGCCGAGGTGGCAGGTGTGTGCCGAGGGCCTTCTCAAGCTGGACAGGCAAGGACCGCGGGTGGGATCGTCTCCGGAGGAGCCAGGCGGTGCTTCCAGTCCATCTCCCTTCCTGCTCCTTCTGCAGTGTCACAGGGAGGCTTCCCGACCGCCCATACCAAAGCGTCTTTCTCAGGTTTATTTTTCAGGGCAAGGGCAACTCTGCCTTCCCCAAATCCCAAACATCGCTGCAAAGCTTTTGCCTGTGCAGGAGTGAGGTGTGGTCCCCTGTGCAACAGCCTTCTCATTCCCAAGAAATAAATACATTCACGGGCTCTGAATTTCACCATCATCTCTTCTAGGCCAAACATAGGACAGGGTTACCATGGCAACTGTGGCAGATTTAGGACACAGAGGATATTTGGGTCCTGCTGCATCTTTGGCCAAGACTTAAGCTATGTGACAATGCCAGTGTTGTAACTCCGACTGTGTGTCTCCCTGCACAGTTCAAAGCATTTGGGTTACTGTCTCTTTCCATATACTTGGTGCTTTGTTTTCTATCCAACTCTCCAAAGGAGAAAGTTTTATGGATATCCATTTGCTGGGCCAGCAGTAGAAGAAAACGTGTGTGTGTGTGTGTGTGTGTGTGTGTGCGCGCGCGCACGCGCACGCACCATGCTGTGTGCTGTTACCCTCTCTAACCTCTCCCGAAGTTATCCCTGCCACCTTTGGCAAGACCCACTAGGAGAAGACAGGTGAGTAGAGGACTTTGGGTGTCAGTGGCTGAGTGAGGGGTAACCTTGGATGGGTTTCTCAAAAGTATTTTTTAAACTCATGCTTCTCTTTTGGGACAACTGGAGGAAATTTGAATATCTGAAAACCAATTGACTTGGAAGGCAGTGACCATTAATAGACCGGATAGAAGATGCACGAACATGTTGGGAGTATTGCTTTCTGGTTGTGAGAATATGATGGATTTGTTTTTGATTTGTGCTCAACTGTTTTTACAATCCACATACACTACATTTACAATGATGAAATTATTTTATAAAAAAAAGAGAAAGTCGATGTGGTCTTTAGTGGCTATTAAAATTCCCAAACAGTTAGCATTTGTGACTAAAAATAAATCACAGCAGTAAGACAATGTTCTTCCCTCTTTTCACACTACTCGGGAATTCCTGGAAGTTCTGATTTGCTTCTCCTTCAGATACAACTCTGAGTGTATTCCAAGTGGGAAACAGCGGAGATGACAGGGATATTGCTGCTCCATCAGGATTTCTCACCCCTTCCTCCAGGAGCTGGGGATCCTTTGTCCATGATGAGATAACTCACACAAACCACTCTTCTAAGTGTGACAGCCAGTGAAAATGTCCTCCAGTCCTGTGTCTTTTGGGGCCAGAGCATTAGTATCATCTGACACTAACAAGAGCACGTCAAGACATCAGAAATGCAAGCTCCGTGCTGGGCACTCAGTGCAGGCCTGCATTTTGGCGAGGTTCTGAGGAGATTCAGACACACAAGAAGCCTGGAGATACACCATTTAGGTCAAGAAGGTTCCCCAACATCTTGGGCATGCAGAGGTGGCCTTTCAGAGTGTGGTGAGGTCATGGAGTACTACGCCCACTGGTGGGCTGATCACCTGGCGAATGCAAGGCTGAGTGCACAGTTGGGAGGTCGGTCCTGCTGGGGAAGAATGGGTCTCTGGTGGCGTGTCTTGAAGGATCGTCCCTTTATCCTCTCCTCCTTTCTCCCTCTGCTTCCTGACTACCATGATTAAGCAGTTTTCTCTCTGCCCTCTCCCTCGGCCATGCTTTTTCTGTCTTGGAGCCAGAAAACCTTGAACTATAGCCTTGAGCTGAAATAGACTTTTCCTCCTCTAAAGTGAGGGTGTCAGGTATTTTGTCCCAGGTGTGAGGCAAGTGACTAAGATACTACCCTTCAGGCCTGAGCATGTGTCTTCCTTTCCAGGCATCAGAGGCCCAGGAATTTATGGCGATAGCTCATACCTGATCAGACCCATAGTACACCCAAGACAGGTGGGAAGAGCCCCACACTCCCGACAAGGTACTTTTTATTTAATTTTTCTTACTTCCATTGGCTACCCCAAGTAACTGATAGGCATTTGCAGCTACGTCAGCAGCCCCATGGCTCCTACTAGAGACAATTGCTTTGGTTGCAGTAAGATTTTGTCACGGGTCCGTCCCAGATGACCCTGTCCCCTGTCCCAAGCCTCTCTGGATGACTCTGTCTCTCTGCACCTTTCCTCAATCACTCTCTGCCCTGCCCATGACTTCACTGCCTGTGAAGCCTCTCCACAGATGAGACAGGTCAGTCCGTATGCCGTTCCCCTTCGTGCTGTAGCATAAATCCTCATGAAGCCTCCTTGGGCTGGCACAGTTTTACCCACCCATGGTTTCTATCTTGAGTGTAAGAAGAGGGTGGGCTGGAACACCAGCAGCACTGGCGGCAGCCAGTAGCCAGAGGTTGAGGATAATGGAGGACTGCATGGCAATGCCCGAGGTGTAGCTTCATACAGAGAGACGATGGCCCATTCCACTGACAGCACAGAGGATCCCAAGAAAATGGATTCAAGAACTAAGCTAGAAAGAAAGTTCTGAGTAGGCCCATGCATCAGGGAGGCCGAGGGACTTGCTCTGTGGCAGCTCAGTCTTTCACTCTGCTGTTGCTAGTGCTTGGAAAAGGGTCCCTCGAAGGGTGGTATATTCATTAAGGGCTTGTCCCTTAGTGCTATTTGGAGGCAGTGGAATCTTGAGGGAGTGGGCTTAGGGGAAAAATTTAGGTCACTGGGGTCTATCCTCACAGAGGGAGCCAGGCCCTCCCTGCTCTTGGTATGTGCTCCCTGACCGCCCCAAAGTGAGCCTTCTGCTCCTACATGTGTACCTGCTATGATGTGCCTACTTTACCACAGCCTGAACAGGCCCAGCTAACCATGGACTGAAGCCTCCAAAAATGAGATAAAATAAATCTTTTTCCTTATAAGCTGATTATTTCAAGGAAGCCACCTAAAACAACTGCTAAGACTTCTGTTGAGTTGCACTCAGGGGTGTGACACAGACTCCTTGTCTTCTCAGTCCTGTCAAAACTGCACACTGGAGCCGAAAGAGAAATGTGACCTCATTGTGTTGAGACAGTGAAGAAAGCAGGGCAAGGGATGAGGCAGAGAATCTATCCTAGAGAAGGCCATCCAGAAGGAGCTCTTTTCTGGGGAGAAAGGCAAATCTCTCTCTTCCCCATGTCCTCCCCTCTCCTGCTCATGGAGACAGGAGTCACAGATGCTGTTGTGCCATAGGGCAGCTCAATTCCTAACCCAATCATGCTCAGAGTGTTTTACAAAAGGAGAAAGTGAGATCAACTACCAATCAAATGGTAGCAATGAGGGCTTAGAGCCAAAAGCACCATTAAAATAAGAGCATAAAACAAAATATATCTAGGCATCTTTAGGTCTTTTTGTTTTTGTTGGTAGTGGTTTAGAAAAAAATCCTTGCTATACAAACATTAAGAAAATTATTTTCATAGAACTCAGATTCATTTGAGGGAGCTAGGTAGAGCCAATTCCCAATAATTACAAAGCAATCTCACAAAAATAAAGCTAACTCCATGGCAGCAGATCAATTTAAATTCTCTCTAAACAAAATGT